CCTCATTTTTCAATTTAACTGTAAAGTTTGTGTAAAGTTGTAACGATACCATGTTTAAGGGTCAAATACCAAAATATATTTCCTTGTCGTTGACTCGTTTATGGTTTCCTTTTATCATTAAAAAAATAAAAATAAAATCATTTGATTTGAATAGTTTAACCGCGGAATAATTGAAATATTGAACAATAATAAAAAGAAAAAAATTCTTTTATCAAATGATCATAAAATTTCAAAATGTTAATTTTAAAAAGATGAAAAAGTGAAAAGTGGTATACCAAACATCAAACTTTTGCAAATTATTATGAACAGTTATTGTCATTTTATTTTTTTGTGTCGGCAGCAACTATTGTTCTTTCACTCCACATGTTTTATATCTTCGAAACTGAAATTTACATAACAATTTATTTATTTGTCGGTTTTGTTTAAATTTTATAACAAATTGTTCTATATTTTTAAATAACAATATGGTAATTAGATAGAAATTAAGAAACTCGTTTGATTCCAATAATGATGAGTTGACTACCTCATTTGATTTGGTTATGCACGAAAAAGCTAAGGGAAGAAACTCTCTTTCATAACTTTTAGACTAAACTGAGAGAGAGAGCAAGTAAACTCTGAAATCCTTTTTAATTGTCTATCTCACCATAATCTATAAGCAGTGCTACAAAACTGAAAACCAAAAAACTGCTGAAACCTTAAAAGACCCATCATAACAGAGAATTCTTCAAGCAGATTTCAACTTGTTCGTTGCGGACGCGAGGTGAGAGAGTGTTCTGTGTCCGACGAACAACAGAAACACTCCCAACAACGAAAGTGCCTTGAGAGTCGTGAACAGATCCAACTGTGGAGGAATTAATATGATGAGTATTAGATTTTTGATGCAAAAGGTACTTGTAATCTTAAGAAGAATCGGTTTTGAGAAACTTGCCTTCAACCAGAAAAGCACGTAGAGAAGTAGAACAGCTCCAATTCCGCCATGGAAAAGTAAAGCGGATGTTGCAGGTCCAACCGATGAAGGGAAGTTCTTTACGTTCACTCCCAATTGCATAAGCTGAAACAGAAAATAGGTCAAAATTTGAAACCAAATGCAATGATGCTTCTTGGATTTCGGGTTTTTGATGAATCTACTGACCCCAATCAGGAAAGCGACGAATGGGAGAACGATAAGACCCAAGAAAACTAGTGAAAGCTGCTTTGCTGGAAGCTTTTCAGGTACACGGAAGATGTGGTATATTTCAGCTTTTGGCTCATATCTTGTGTAAGGGTCAGCAGACCGTAGAGGAGGGAGAGAAGCCTTCTCTGGACGCTCTGGTAGGTCCAATTCAATGTGACCAATATTACGTAGTAAAGAGTTCTCCTGGAAAAAGAAAACAAAATAGCATTGTTCAAATTTCTGAGACTTAAATCAACTGCATTTGACCTCGAAGAACCAATACTTACCATAGAAACGTCTCCAATAGTTAGCTGGATCTCATATTTACCAGATAGATAGTAGAGCTTCTCAACCAATCCAAGAAAATCCTGAAGGTAAAATAACACTAATCATTAATATTATATTTAGGGCGTCATCACCAAGTAGCAGAATGAAGATAGGTCAAAGAATTTGTTCTACAAAAGCAAATTCAAAATGTAATTTAAGGAACTTAACCAGAACTAATTCAGCCTTCTTTCCAGAAGTTTTCACGAGAAATATATGCTCGACCTGTGACTCATGTTTCAGCTTGAGAAATGCCTGCATGGATGTAAACAAGTCAAGAAATTGAACAGAGCAAAACACAAAATAAAGCGGGGTAGGGAATGAACAAACCTGGTGTGGCTTAAACACATGGCCAATTGGACTACTTAACTGGAACGACAGGCGTAGCTTTTGGAGGTGGTTTGCTGATAATGATACCGTTCCATCTTTGGTTAAATCTAGCCTACAAAAGTTGCAAAGAGAAGCAAGAAACAAAAAGGTGAGGATAAGTCAAAAGGTACATATTTACTAAGAAAATGGTTAAACAAGCAATAATTGTAGGACAGTGAAATGGTTAAGAAAGCAATAAAGGTTACATACTTTTTCTGGGATTCAACGCTCCCAACGTCACTGTCCAGTACAGCAATTTCTGCATTCTCAATACTAATAGCTCCTGTAACGGCTATAGGCACTTCTGTTTGAGCTTCGGTTATGTATGCTTTCTCACTTGCTGAATCATCCAGCAAAATCTACAGATAAAGAAGCTTGTCATGTTATGAACATACATGTATATGAACTCTTTGGGTGTAAATAAAAACTAACAAGAGTAATACCTCAAATACAAATGTATATTTTCCAATATCAAAGCTTGTGGGGAAGGAGTCCAAGAAGTATGTTGCACTGTCAGCGTCAAACTTAAGCTCCTATACCCCAAAATTTCATGGAAACATGAAAACCGGCCAACACAAAGACTAAGGAACATTTACTAATGCGAGCTCAAACAGTCATAGAGAATAAACATTATTTACCTGGTTTTTAATTACAGAAGAAGCCTTTGTTTTAGAGCTAATAGCTTGTGTGAGCTTCACACTAAGAGCTGGTGCCTTAGAACCAAGTACAGTGCTAACTTTAACCTAGTGATAAAGAGAATAATATATCAAAATAATATACGGAAAACATAATGGATAAAGGATCGACTAGATTGAGTCATTATTAAATAGATGAGAAATCTCAGTAAAATATATGCACTGCTATGAGCCTGAGCAATCTCTAAACCAAATACCAGCTAAAATCCAACATCCACCAGCTACAGAGCCACTAATCAACTGGGACACATAATCAAAACCAGAAAACCCAAAGATAAGAGTTTCCCTACTAATAGTACCACACCCAAAAGTCTGAAGAGAATTGTATGAAATCATAACAGGGGAAATATTAAAATAAAATAAAAATTTCAAACTATGTCAGTCACATCTTGATGTGCAAGTTTATGATGGGATACCTTCAGAGGCTCTTTCTTTGTCAATGAAATGACTGTAGATGGGAGGGACAAGATGAGTGGAACAGAGAACCTGAAATGATAGAGGACAATAGAACATATTATTCCCATAGAATGATAAGGTTCTAGCCAGAGCATAATAAATGAGCAGGCAGTTGTAATTTCACAATTATTTGAACTTTAAAACTTCTACTTTTCGCTACAGATATCATTTCTACAGCAATCATTTTGTTCAAAATTCTAAGATGCATGACCACGAGACCTTCACAACATTTTCACAATGTAAAGGGGAACAGTTTTCTTCTATCAAAAGCAACTGTTGATGCGGAAGAACAGAAGTAACAGTAAGCCCTAGTAACTCTATGTCCTTCAGTTAATTCAATTCAAAGGTTACTAAAATCTCGTCTAAGATGTGTGCAGAAATAAACTGAAGAGAAATTATATAGAGGGCATGAAAGCAGCATTGCCTGTTGTCTTCCAAACAAGCTAGTGCATCTATTTGGTTGAAGAAGTCCTTGGCATCACCAGGAATTCCAACACCAAGAAAGAATTTGGCCAAACCAACTATCTTATCACCTGGAAGCTGCATATGAGAGAATGGGAAAATGAAGATGAACTATCAACACATCAGGCAGGTTACAGGATAAGACAATTATGATTATTACATACGTTCAATTCTGTAGATCCTGAAGCTGCAAATGCCGTGAGTCCTCTAATTACTGATGCAGTTGTTGAGATTGGGCCTTGACTTTCATCAAAGTATAAAGTCCCATCGTCTAAAAGGCCAAAAAATTTAATCGACCCCATAAATGCAAATCCAAACTGAAGAAAACTATGAAGTGACTGAAGAAAATCTTCTATGTATACACATAACATAGCAAGTAGTTTACTGCATACCATATTTTTCAATACTGTCAAAAAGCTTCAGGATACCCGTCTTCAATGTCTGGATCTACAAGATGACAAACATAAATTGTTGATATCATCACATGACCAAGTAATATCAACCAAAATGGCAAAAAAAAAGTATAACCAGATGCAAAAGTCAGGTACACATGCATAATCTTCCATGTAGTTACGACTTGGAATTTAAAATTATCAAAACAGAGTTGTTTATTTTGGTTACCAAGAGATCCAAGAACTAAAAAGTAAATCAACACTAAACCAAGAATAGTAAAGATGTTTCATCAATATACATTATCAGGAAATCAGTAGTATAGTGCACTAAAGATCTCACTTACCAATGATTGATCAATATCTGAAGGTGCTAATGAAATCACTCCAGCAAGCGTTTCGAAGGCTAAACCTGAGGGGAAAAAAAAATCTTATGTTTAGAAGAACGAAAACAAACAAAAAAAACAAAAACAGAGCAAAAGAAATGACAAGTTGAAACAAGAAAGGAAGGGATAAATAATCTAAAAGCTTCATCAAATAACGTTTAGCATGGTGAAGTATGAAGGGTTAATCCAATAAGTAAAACTTACCAGCAGCAAAGGTGCTTGATTCCGGATTGTTGGAGCTGTAGCGCCATTTTCCATCACTCTGGCTAAGAGCCTGATACAAAATTCACTATATGAGCCATATAATACTCGGAAAATTATCGAAGTAGTATGTAATATAGTAACTGAATATCAGTAACATGTCAATACTATACACTTATACCAGAGTTTATAATTGATAGTTCAGAAAGACAGCGTAAAATGTAACATCTGAGAGTTCAGAAACAACAAAACAGGTAAGCTAAACAAGTTCAAACCTTGATGGAATGGAAAATGGCTTCGGCATCTCCAAGACTTAGATCAGTTCCAGAAAATTGCTCCTGCATTTATGGAAAGGCGAGGTCAAACCTGAAGCCAACAAAATAGAAAACCCGGATGCCAAAGCTATGGAGTAGAATAAAATTAAATTATCACGATCACAGGTACATTCTGCCAAAAGATTTTATACTTCCAAGTAATGAGCGGAAAACAAAGAAAAATCTCTTAGACGTACTGTATGGAAAAAGGCATAGTCAATCCCACTCACAATGTCCCAACCAAAAGTTTAATTAGTATTACCTTAACAAGCAACAAGCCTCTGACAGAATAATAGAAGTCAAGCAGTAATTTGGCATCTTTAACGACACCTTGAAGTCGAGAAACAATGTCCTTCAAAAGTGGAAAACAGATTAACTTACTTTAGCAGCTTAAAGGTTACAGAAATTTGTGGTAGTGAGAGGAGACAAATGATTACCTTAGGAACATCTTCACCAGTTTTGCATTTTAGAATCCCATTAACGCTTAAAGCATAGAATGCATCCTTTAAAGTAGAAGAAGACGACCCAAGAACTTTAACCACATTCTCACAAGTCACTGAGCTTACATGAGACTTTTTATCAATTCCAAGAATCTCCAAAGTCTTCAATGCTTCATATGCCTCCTCCAAGCTGAATTGAACAAAAACACAAATTTAGATGGGTCCGTACAAAATCATATACTAGACGCAAAACAAGTCCTGAGCTTTGGCGAGCAACCAAAACGTAATCAGTAAAATGTGGGGAAAAAACCTTACCCAAAACAATGTCAGCTAAGGAATGTAAGAAACGAAATCAAATTGTGGGTTTTGAGAGAAAACCAACCTTTTGTAAGATCCATCGACTGGTACGAAGACATCCTGAGCCGCAGATCGGTGAGAATCTGAAATCGGACTATAAACCGAAGCAGCACCGCAAATCGCTACGGCGAGAATCAACACCAGAAACCGTACGAGACTTCTCGCCATCATTACTGAATCAG